CAATTTAATAGAAACACCATAAATACCAAATTTATAGATTCCTGTAGACCCACATTGATGAACCACATCAACTGAGCGCTGTCTTTATATTCCGGGCTGACTTCGCATGGAATCATAATATTCGTGCCGATCACGACGCTCTGATTGGTCGGCCCGTATTCGATCAGATTCGAACCTAAATGTCCACTTTCGACGGACCGTGTCTCACAAACCTCCGGTAGGGGGTCATCATCTTGTCACTCACCTGTCGACGTCACTCTGGCTGTCGCGCTCGTCATTCCATTGTTGTTCTTTGCTATACAAGTATAGCTCCCACTATCCGACTTCTTTAGATCGTGAATTATCAAACCATCCGCGGTGACGTCATATTTCGTCGAATCCGATGTGATGTCAACATCTGTTATTGAACAAACAAAATTCAATGAAACACAATGAGAATTTTTATGTGTAACAAATTTGAGTTGCAGAAAATCGGCACTGGACGCGAGCGTTCGCGACGCGGTTGATCGATTCACGAAAAATCTCGTGCTGCAAACGCACGCACCTTACCCCTGTAACGCTTCGGATAGGTTCGCTCCGGTAAATGAAAAAAGGAACTACACATTCGAACAGCAAAGCCAGATGGGAAAACCGGATAGCTTCGAGATGAAAGAACCGCTCGCCTATCTTGAGATCACTTATTTTTAGCCTTCTCTGAGCACTTTTATGCTCTCAAATCCGGAAACGCGCTTACAAAAACAGTTGTCATCTGTGGTTCATGAAACCCCATAAAACCACTAAATCCAAATGGCTTGCTCTGAGAATGACCTCAATGCCCCAAGGCGAAGTTCTTAGCCACTCCCACTTTCTTTCATCGCATGAGCAAAGAAAATTGTGACCAAAAAATAGAACATTGACTTCGCACCAAATTATGAAACTCTGGAGCCACCCTTCATGCACTAATTAGTCAGCAGCAAATCCTTCACGTTTCGCAACCCAACAATCCAACTCCCCTAATTACCCCGAAAAGAAGAGACTGGAGAGAAACCCCTTTTCGCACTCTCAATAAATCCTTTCCAAATTTATGGATGTCGTGGAGACTAGTCCTATGTCGCAGCGCTGGCCACAAAACCTACCACAGAGTGATCGGGTTTCACAAACATTAGACGTTCGCACTATTGACTACTTGTTCTCGACGCCATTACAAACGGGAAAGGACTGGCAGTTCGGGTCCTAAAGAAAGTCATAAAAAAATGTTGCCTTACCATTAAATCGCCACATTACAGACGTCGCTGGCAATCCCGCTACAATACAATTCAGCCTTAAGCTCGTCGTTCCGACCACGAACGAGACATCCTTCGGAGGTGAGGTGATCACTGGAGCACCAGAGGTGTTCTCTTGATCATTCCCTTCCAACGCAGGCGCTTCATCGTCAGATCGAAGAAATTCTGGAAACAATCAATCTCCAACTGTGAAATCATCCAGACGCTGATCCTTCAGAGATTCAGATCTAGAATTACTGACTTCTGCTCCGAATATGAATGACGCCTCCATATTACTATGCAACGAATCCATCCAAGGCTGCTCGAGAGAAGCACGAAAATCGATGATTTCTCATCTTTGAGGTACTCTTTTCAAATCGGATCCCTTGTTTTTGATATCAACGACCGGCGGCTAAATAAGGCCGATGTCAGACTTTGCGAATCGCGCGATTCGCTACTAGCGATTCGCGCGATTCGCTAGCGTCCGCGGTCGCGTTGCGGTACCAGCCAATTGAGTGATTCACTGGCCGCGACGCGACCGCAGACGCTAGCGAATCGCGCGATTCGCAAAGTCTGACATCGGCCTTAAGCTCCACGAGTGTTCTTCGTAATCAGCTCAAAATCCCCTGACCCTCCGTAATGTGTTCCCCGTCGTACGTCCTAAATCGAGACCTATTACGTAGTTGAGCCCTAATGTGCTTGAACCTGACCCCTGTATATCCAATCTCCACAAAGCGGGTTGGTGGGGAGAAGGTTACTGTAGAGCCGAGATAGCGAATACCCACCCTTTAATGTTTCCCCATTTTTCGAAAAAATCTCTACTCCGATGCTATGCTGATGATTTATAATTATAATCCTTATTCCATTAAACACGCCCCCCTTCCCCTTATCCTCCTTCTTTTCTCATTCGCATGGCCAACGATAGCCACAATGCTGACCAATACCACCGTAGTGTAATAACACGCTTCATCTATTCAAAACCTTTTTTCAAACATGGACAATATGCCAACCTTACCAGCCTGCCTAAACTGCCATTTATACCCACTTGGGTACCATTACCAGATCATGACGCAACTACCACCACACCTATCCAGCCGCATATACTCCCAAAAACATCTGCCCAGCTGCTACCCAGCCATGACATGGGTGCTCCGGAACCCATGCATTTCTCCCCATCTCGACAGCCCTGGTAGATCGAAGGCCTGTGCCTCGACGCGAATTCGACGGCAACGACAGCAGAACCGGCATGCGCCCGTGGCTTTCTTCAAATCTAGAGGTCGCAGCGCGCCGATCGTTCCAGTCATCGTAATTATCCCCCTACAAAACGCACTTCGTCGAGGATTTCGCACCCCTCGCGGCCACTCAAATCGCGGAAACGATATGACTTTCGAGGGCTGACGACAACCACTCACACGTTACTCAGCCCTCAATAAAAAGCTCTACGCGATCCTTTAGCCTTTACTATTGCGCCGCAAAAACGCACAACTCACACAATAACTGGGCGTAATTACATGGGTAGCAGATTCAAAAAGTACGAGGGAGCATCAATTATAAGATCCCCCACGACTCACACACAAGAATTTCCAACTCGAACAATAGGAACAACAATTATAAGGGTTTTTACAGGGATTTTTGCTTTCAGGCACATCTTTGTCCCCCATAAGCTTGTTTACATTCGTGCACTCATCACTGAGTTTATAAGCTAAAAATGCACATTGGAGCAAGGATCTGGAAATGTTGGTCCATTAAGAACGCTCAGCTCCTCCGACATTGTTTACCCAAGACAAGTACCCTTTCCAGTTCCAATTCGGCCCTCAGTTTTTTGCAAATTTCTTACGAGACCTTTGCTCATTGTCAGGAAAGTCTGTCTTTCTTTGTCTGTCTCTTTCCCGGAGACTTACTTGCACATTTATATCATTAAACGTGCCCTCTAATGCACTAGATATTGCAGAAAAATCAGAAAAGGAACCTCTACTAATGTTTTCTAAATTTTGCAACAAAACCGGTGCACATGGGAAAATCTTCCACTGAAGCTTCGGTCCCATGCAAGTTTACAGCAATGATCAGAGCGTTCCATTTGAAAGGAGCCCTTCCAGGAAAACTTGAAAGTGACAGCCACGAACTCAAGCCTACCGCCATGGGAACCTCTCTCTATTCCCGAAACAAGAGCGTAGAAGTGCCACTTATCGTCTGTTTAGCAAGCCTCTGCCTGGGTAAGCCAAGGTCAAACGATTCTCAATTGGGCGATCGTTTTTTAGCCTAAAGGAGGGGAAAGGAGTTGCACTGGGTGGACTGGCCATGTGTCTTCGGGCAGTTGTAATAGAAGGTTTAGTTCGAGTGTAAGAATCTCTGGGTAAATTTAATAAGCTTTTCCTCAGCCGCCTTACGAACAGGAGAGTCTAGGATAGCTAATACACTGGCCGTCCGTTATGGTTTAGGGATCAGCCTAATTTCCTCGACACACAGCTGACCCTGTATTTCTACCCCTTCCACTGAGCATTACGTGGAACCGACTACATGTAGCGATAATTGCCTTGATAAACTTCAAACAGAACTTGGCCATTGAAGGTTATCGAACCAACTGTGTTCACGGTACAAGAGACTACCTCAAAACGCCGTACCGCCTGTTCGACCAAAACGATCTCAAATAAACTCGAACAACCTTGAACAAAGAGAAACAAGAGAAGAACTGAAGAGACATAGAGAAACAGCGAGGTACCCATGAAAATGCCTAGATATTTTTCATCGAGACTACTACTTTGTTCCGAAATGACCAACTCGCCCCAAAAACTAGGAGTACGATACGGACATGCTCCCGAAACACTTTGTGAATGAACTCGAATTTGTCAAAAAATAAAGACAAAAACATTAAGTCCAAGTCCTACCTGGATCTTGACTGGCTCCCTCCTTCACCCATACCGTATTCATACTCGATCCAGCCTCGTTCGTCGCTTCACACTGATAAACACCATAGTCCTTGTGAGAAAGCTCATCGACGACTAATCGTCCGTTTTTGGTCGCGACCTGCAAGAATGCTCGTTAATTCTGCGAATTCGCCTCTTCAGAGACCCCTTCATTGCCCTTTCTTTCGTCGAATTCAACTATATCGTAGGACAGCCGCGACTCTTTCAAAATCCTTTGTGAAATCGCTCTAATAGATTAGCCGCGATCAACTGGTCACGGCGATCCCATTATTAGTAAAACGGCGCCCAGGGCGAGACAAATGGATTGGTTACACTATAATGGCCGTTGGCCACAACCGGTCACGACACCTACTATTTGCCAGCCATTTGGAGATTACTGAGCGCATTAACTCACTTACAGTAAGAGTAGTACAGCAAGTCAAGCTATGTGGCTGTGAATAGTAGGGCCAATCATTGAAAGACAAAGGAGAAAAAGGATTGACTTGATATGAGAAATATTACGTGATTGCTGATTCAACAGAAACTTGGACTCTGACAAATTCCTTGACAAATTCCTTCCTCTCGATAGAACTTTGACTTCACCTTTTCATCCCATTTCTTTCTTCTTAATTTCATCTTATTCCATTTTGTTTTGTCTTTACTTTCGACTCTCGCCACCCCTTTTTGCATTTCATTTGATTCCCCCCCGCCCCACTCTTTCTCAGCAGTCTTCCTTTATTTTGTTCACCGCTTCCTTTCTATCTCATTCACTGATAATGTCATGTTGATGAAAACATTTCGAGAGAAGGCGAAACGAACAACATCTCAAACTGCTCAATCTACTTTTGCCTTTGATTGTGGCCTCCTAGTTTTGGTTAGCATAGTGAATTGATTGTGTATTTCGAAGGAATTTTTTACAAGTCACCAGGGCCTCTCGCAAAGGATAAATTTGATTTCGCTACGGAGAACGAAACAGACCTATGATCGGGTAGGAATAGACCATTAAAGTACTAAATTACATTATTAGAGAACCATTCGCTGATAGAGTACCACGTGTATAGATTAAGCAAGTAAACAGCTGAATGTACATACATAAAGGTTTATAAGTGCTATCAACCGAACTCTGATTCGGAACAATTCTTGAATTCGTAAGTCTTCTTATACAATTACTAATCTTTCCCAAAAGTTGACGGTTGAAATAATCCTAAAAAGCTCCCTTACAGCGAAATATTTCAACATTTTGCTGAAAACAGATCAAGAAATAAACTAGTTTATTTTTACGAGCAATCTATATCTCTCGCTATATGCTTATGCTTCTTCACCCAATAACACTGGTAATGCGCTGGGAAGGGTATCCTTTCAGCTCATATCCCCCAGCAATACACAATTAAGAGCTTAACGTTACCATGGATAACGAATGAGCTTTTACCCGCATCCGTACGGATTCCTAATAGCAGCTGATATGATTAAATGAGTCAAAACCTTTCACTCACGAAATCAGCACTCCACTCGTATATTCCTTATTATCCTTCTATTTTATAAAGCGCTAACTTTGTGTGTCGGTTTGTGTATCTGTATGTGTGTGTGTGTGTATGTATGTGTGTCCGTCCGCAAAATGAAGTGAGTGAGAAGGAAGCTCATGGGATAAACAAACCGCTAACAAATCGGGTAGCTTACAGGATTTGAGATATCAATGTTTTGTAGCAGGATAGTTGTGATAACACTCTTAGGGCTATATAAACACCTGCTTAGCACACTTCCGTTCATTCCACATGGTGCTGCAGTGGCAGCTGGAGGGCAGTGGAGAGAGGAAGGGAGGATGAGGAAGGGAAGCGAAAAATCTACCGTCATATCATGATTGTGTCCCTTCTACTGTTTGAAACACCATTGTGTTGCATACGCGTCACTTCCACGAGGTGTTGGTGTCACAGGAGGAAGGGACCATAGCGGAGGATAGAAAGCTTGCGCAGGAAAGGAAGGTCCCGGCGGTTGACGGGGGACTAATCTGGTATAATAAAAGTAATAAGGAGGTGAAGCCATGCGCAGCCCCTTATCCCTCATCTCTAACTCTCTCCGCTGGCCGTCCCATAGTTGCAAACCATCTCGCCCAGTACTTGAGATTCATTGAATTCTGTTAATATGTACAACTATCTGCCTTATCCCACTTCATTTTGCGGACGGACAAACAGACATTCATACAGAGCGACACACCAAGTTAGCGGTTTATAAACAGAAGGATACCTGGTCCCTAATTGTAAGTAAAGTACGCAGCGCGTCCACCACAACTTTGGGCGTTTCCGTTACTTTTGACCGTTACCCTATCATACCTGTTCCACTATGTCAACTCATGAGTTTTCTACAGAGACACTTCTCATCCACTTCAATCCACTAATGCCTCTTGGAGGTCAGTCCCTTCCTGTCGTTATTCAAACAAACAGAGCAACAAGCCACGGGCCCACCCTGTCAACTGGCCATCTCCGTCGGGTACAGCACACTTTCCCCGGTGACATATCACGGTCGCTGTACCTGAATCGCGCCATATGCTCGGTGGGATCCATATCAGGAGTATGATAACCAGCTACTAGCATGCAGTAAATTAACCAATCGAGGTAAAGAAAATCCACCCATAACTCGGTATAAACTAATCCACCCATAACTCGGTATAATCCACCCATAACTCGGTATAAACTATGCTTTATATTAGAGTCCCAATCTGACCCAAAAAGGCAACACACCTCCTTGATTCCAAAATCGGAGAGTTCTGAAGTCGTATTTCAGTCCATGCGGGCATATTTTTACAGGGAAGCCCTTGACCTGAACTACACGCGCATGAATCAAAGTAACTCTGTCACATTCCCATCGCTCAGTTTTTCTCAGCGATACTCTAAGCGATTACAGACACGACGTCAGCGGAAAAAAGCCAAGGCTGAACGAGCGGTTGTAAGAACGAGACGATATCAAAAGAAGAGCAAAGGATGAAAGGACAGACGGTATAAGCGTTCATATTGCTTTAAAATAGATTAAATAACAAAAATAGGGTTGTGGACAAAGAAGACTTGAAGAAAGCAATGTCAATGGTACAAAAACAGCTACTAATCACACAACTGACATATAAGACGCTGATATGTCTTATCAGCTTGAAAAATGCAAATACTTGATTTCGTACAGAACCTCCCCATGCAGGGATTCTCCACATTTTGATATTTTGACTCCAAACACGCCAATTCTTCGACTTCTCTTTATAGAACAAAAGTGCTCAAGTCAGGCCACATCATTCATACTTGAACTGCGAAAAACAAGCCTAGAATTGAATCGATGCATTCCCTTGGCACAAGATGCCCCCTTCCGTAAAGTTGGTGACTGTCAGGCGTTACCCATCGGACTACAGTCCAAAGTTCATTCTACCCTAATGGCTTTTAAAGAACTTCAATAAGCCAGGGAAAATTTGAATC